ACTATGCAGTCCAGGCTGGCCTTGAGCTCACTTTGTAGCCCAGGCTGGTCTCGAACTCTCAACGATCCTCCTGCCTCAGCCTCCCGAGTGCTGGGATTACAGGCATGCATCACCACGCCTGGTTCCCTTTGAAATTTTAATTACATGTTTTTTAGATATTTCACCATATCCCATGTTTCTTTTGTGATTTGTCTGTACTCTTCCTCCTTTTTTTTCTCTGTGTGTGTTAATTTGGATAGTTTCATTGAATTTATCTTCTAGCTCAATAATTCTGTTCTAATCTGCCGTTAAATTTTTCAAATTCTTAATTTCTGTCATTGTATTTTCCATTGGTAGAATTTCCTTTTAACTTTATTTTATGATTTCTAAGTCTTCACTCAAGTTCTCCATCTTTTCCTCTTTTCCCCTCAAATATATTAGTTGCATTTTTCAAAATTCCTATATGATCAGTCTAATTTCAGAATCATCTATGAGTCTGTTTCTATTGTCTATTGTTTTTCTTGGTTGTTAGAAAAAACAAGGGTCTTTACCAAGAACCTCTTAAATTTCTGACTCCTCACCACTGGAAAGCCACTTAATCCTCTGCTCAGCTTTTTTAGCTTTCCAGGGGTACTTTCTACTGGATTTCCTGCATAATTATGAGGAAATTGGATTACCTGAGACTTCATAGCTTATAAGTCAACCTAGGACTTAAGAAGATTTTCAAGGTACCATTTAGGGATGCCTTTTCTGCTATTCCTTACTCTCCAAAACTTTTTTTTGTTTTGTTTTGTTTTTGTTTGTTTTGTTTTATTTTTTAGACAGTATATAGTTCAAGCTGGCCTTGAACTCACCATGTAACCCAGCCTGGCCTTGAATTTGAAATGATCCTCCTGAGTCTGGTACTAGATTTTTTTTCTCCTCTTTCTATTTCTTTCTAGTTCTGTCATTGGCATTCTCCCACTCCAAGCATGACTCCACTCTTTAAGAACTGGAGGAAAGGAAGAACTCAGGTCACTCTTGATAAAGTGCATATCTGAATACTTTATGAATTTGTGTGCAGCTTCATTAACTCAGTCTCCCCAAATGAGTTCTCGCTCCACTTAAAAAAAAATATGAACCTAATTTGTTCACAGGTGCGAGGTCCCTAGTTCCCTGGAGAACTGAGAAAGTCAAGAAGTGCCATCTGCTCATGTCTCCGGGGAAGCTTGCTGGATGTCCCTACCCGGCAGGGGAGCAGCTTGCTCACTCCAGCCAAACTTGTAGACGGCTGTCAAGCCACCTGAAATTTTCCTTCAGGTTTGTAGAAGGGCTGGGAGATGACTAAGCCACCTCTCAACATCCCCAGTCACTGAACCTTTTGAATCTTACCTCCCAAGTCTCACCTTCTCTTAGACGATCCCGCGTGGTCTTGCGGACACGGAGACACACTGTGACCACTCCAGCAGTCTTGCTTCTCACTCCCTGCTCCTGACACTGAAACACATTCCTCGGCACTTCCCTGGGTTTGAAAGTCATGGTTGCTTCTACTCTCAGCAACGGCTGGGATCTGCAGGGACACCAGAGGACCAGCCCAAGACTTCAGGCCGTAAAAAAAAAAAGCTCCTTCAGGCAGAATAGCTGGTTTGCTGCTGAAGGAATTCTCACCTGAGCAGAAATAAGTGCCCCTCAGCGCCCACAGCCAGGTCCATCAATCCATCCATTGTGAGGTCCTGGCCCCCGCTTAGGGACTGCCCAAAGTACTGGAGCGTGGGGGACAGCTGGGAGCCTGTGATCCGCTGGGGGCAGTAAACGAGAGGAGAGAGAGGGAGGAGAAAGAACAGGGAATCGTGTAACTAAGTCACTCAGGGTGACTTCAGTAGAGGTTCTCTGGGATCAGTTCGATTCCATTTACCACCGCTCTTCAAGGTATGAAGGCAATTTAGACCTTGAAAGGGATGATTTACCTGTAAACCACAACCTCAACATGATACCCGAAATTTCCACTCATTACCTGGGTTTCCAAGAGAAAACAAAAAGTTTTACAGGAAAATAAAGCCATATAATTTGGCTCAGCTGTAACCCACTTAGATGGTCATAATAATGTAGACTTGAATATGAATCCAACTATGAAGCGTGTGAGAGTGGAGACAGTCAATAGTACTGCGATTAAGAGAGACACAAAAATGTCTCGGATATAATGATTTAATTTCCTCTGGCTACAAACCCAGGAGTGAGACTGCTGGATTATAAGGTAGTCCTACAGTTCGCAATCTCAGGAAGCTCCACACTGTTTTCCACGGTGACTGCCCTGACTTACGTTCTAACCAGCAGTGGGCGAGAGCTCCCCCTCTCTGTATCCTCACCAACATCTGTCATTTTCTATCTCTTTGCTAATAGCTATTGTAACTGGGGTAAGATAACATCTCTTTATGATTTTGATTTGCATTCACTGGATGATCAGTGATATTTAGCATTTTTTCATATATCTGTTGGCCATTCGTATAAGAGATTTCTGTACAGATCATGTGTTCATTTTTTTTTTTTTGAGACAGAGTCTCACTATGTAGTACTGACTGTCCTTGAACTCACTATATAGCCCAGGCTGGCCTTGAACTCACAGCAATCCTCCTGCCTCAGCCTCCTGAGTGTTAATATTACAGGTGTGCACTACCCTGCCCAGCTGACCATTCCTTCATTTTAACTGATAGATACATACATACACTCAGCCAAAAAAAGAATGAAATCCTATAATTTATGGCAATGTGGCTGGAACTAGAGGACATCACGTTAAGTAAATAAACCAGACACAGAAACAAAAATACCAAATGTTGTCACTCATGTACAGAATGAAAAAAAAAAAAAAAAACATGATGACACCGAAGAGAAGAGTGAAATAGTGGTCACTGGAAACTAAGAAAGGAGCGGGGAAGAGAAACACAGAGAGGTTAGAGAATGGGTCCCGAGATTAAGTTAGGTAAGAGAAGTCAGTTCTGGTGTTGTTTAGCATAGTACAGTAGCCATAGTCTACAACAATTCATGCTGATACATGTTTGAGGAGAGTGAAATGCCAGTCACCCTAATTTAGTCATTACACACTGTATGTGTGTATCCAATTATACTGCATAAATATTACATATCAATTAGTTTAAAATAGCTTTTAAAGAAATTGTAACAATAATCACGCCATTTGGATATGTAGAGAATAACTGAAGGAGCTAAAAGCGGTCCCAGAGGCAGGGGGAAAGAAAGCAGACATTGCAGTGTGGAAGAAGTTGTTTTACTGGCTAAGACTTCTAAACCTACATTCCCTTTTCAAATTATGCACGAGAATAACACCGGAAAGATTACAGCAAGTAATAAATTTATAAAAAGACGCTGACCATTTGAGAAATGCAAATTCCGTCTCACTCCGGAAAGAAGAGCTATTTTCAAGAAGTCAAACAATAACAAAGCTAAGGAGGCTGACAGGGTAGGTATATCTTCACTGCGGGTGGGGGTGTAAACTGGTAAACCTCTGTGGAAATCAGTACGGAGAGTCCTCAAAAAGCTAAAATAGACATTCCATTTGACACAGCTATTTCCCTTCTGAAGACATCGTATTGCAGTGATCCATGCACACCCATGTTTATAACAGCACAATTCATAATAGCTAAATCTTGGAAGTGGCCTAGATGTCCCTCAACAGATGAGTGGATAAAGAAAATGTGGTGTTTATACACAATAGAGCACTACTCTGCCAAAGAGCAGGATAAAAGCAAGTCATTTGTAGGCAAATGAGTCCACATTAAAAACCATATTGTTAGCTGTGAGTGGTGGCGCACACCTGTAATGCCAGCGCTCGAGAGGCTGAGGCAGGAGGATCGTTGTGAGTTTGAGACCAGCCTGGGCTACAAAGTGAGCTCAAGGCCAGTGTGAACTGCATAGCAAGACCCTGTCTCAAAAAGACCAAAAAAAAAAAAGAAAAAAACCATAATATTAAGTGAAGTAAATCAGATACATAAGCTTGAACATCACGTGGCTCCTCTTATACAAGAAACCCGGTATATAAAATGCAAAATAAAAGACAAGGGAAAAAGAGAGAGAGAAAAGTTACTGTAATTCAGCATCGCCAATGTATCTAAAAGTGTACCCTAATTTAGTGTAATTGTTCTATCTGTTTCATATGTTTTCAGCCTTAGTCTGGCTGTTAATCTGTATTTATGATGACTAACTTGGTAAAGACTCACAAAATAAGTAAGTGTATATTACTCTGTTGGAGGGGAGTTTGGTTTGGTTCAGTTTGGTTTGGTTTGGCTTTTTTTTGTTATGCAGCCCAGACTGGCCTTGAACTCACAGTGATCCTCCTGCCTCAGGAGTGCTAGGGTTACAGCCTGAGCCACCACACCCAGCCGGGAGTTTTGCTT